TTCGGGGTCGCTGATTATGAATTTCAAGATAGTTTTTGAAAATTGAAAATGGCGGATCCAATATGGTGGACACTTTTTTCAAAAATTCTTCGGGTATGCTTGAAACTCGTTATTCGGGAGTTTTCGGGGTTGCTGATTACGAATCCGATGTCAGTTTTTGAAAATTCAAAATCCCGAAATCCCCAGAGCGACAAGTTTTAAGCCAATCTAATTAATTATTCATACTAGATCAGCCATTTGCAATTTTCAAAAACAAACATCAAATTCGAATTCAGCGACCCCAAAAACCCCTGAGGAACGAATTTCTATCGAATAGCATCAATCTTCAAATTATCCGCCATATTGGATCCGCCATTTAAAATTTTTTAAAACTGACCCAAAATTCGTAATCAGCGACCCCGAAAACCCCCTAATAACAAGTTTCAAGCAAATCCGATGAATTTTTCAAAAAGTGTCCGCCATGTTGGATCCGCCATTTTGAATTTTTAAAAACTAATAACAGATTCGTAATCAGCGACCCCGAAAACCACCAAGTAACAAATTTTATGCAAATCTGAGCAGTTTTGAAAAAAAATGTCGGCCATATTGGATCCGCCATTTTGAATTTTCAAAAACTGACATGAGATTCGTAATCAGCAACCCCGAAAACCCCCGAGTAACGAGTTTCAAGCAAATCCGATGAATGTTTTAAAAAATTGTCCGCCATGTTGGATCCGCCATTTTGAATTTTCAAAAATTATTATCATATTCGTAATCAGCAACTCTAAAAACCCCCGAGTAACGATTTTCAGGCGAATCCGATGATTAATAAAGTCTGTAATTTACGTGCTGTGTAATGGAAATATACCATGGGTAACGGAGGGGAGTTTTCTTCCATTATACAGCTTCAAAATGTTCTGATTCTAATATAAAAAAAATAAATATTATAAATAAATTAATGACAGCATTTGTTTTCTTTGTTTTTAAATGAAACAATGTTTTAAAGATTATTAAAAATTATTATTATTTACGTCCTTAAAACTAAATTTACTGCGGTAACGGAGGGGAGTTTTTATTGTGTCGATGAACACTGACAAACTAAAGATTCTTTTAAAACTAATTGTTTTCATTTTGTTTCATCATTTTATGCAATAACCATAACTATACTGACACTACAAAGAGTTTTGATGTATTTATTTCTATTTTATCGTTTTTGTTTATATTTTATAATTATATTTGTGAGCGGTAACGGAGGGGAGTTTTATTTCTGCACAAAACTAATTTAATTCTAGGTAAAAATAACTAACAAATATTTTACTTTATTTTTCATGATTGAATTAGAAATAAAATAATAAGTAGATGTTACCGGGCAAAAGATTTTTTTGTATTACAGAATTAATATAATACCTTTTCTATAAATGAAACTTACTTCATGAACGGTAACGGAGGGGAGTTTTTATGCTATATAAACACGTGTATCTTTAAATATTTCAAATTTTCGATTTATTTTTCATAGGATCCGATTAAATCATGATGAATGCTATTATTAGGACGTAAAGATTTTGAAAAATTATTATTATTTATTTTTAAGAATCTAATGTACGTGTCATGTGTCCCGATTGTGAGAATGACCCTTATGTAAATATTTTTAAATATTTCTAACTAAATATTTATTAATGTTGACTTTAAAGTTTTAGTTTGTTTCAGTCTTATTTTAATACATATGCAAATAAATACTTAAAATTATGAATCAAACATTTGTTTAATTCGTACTTTACTCGATTATCCGGATTTTCGATTATCCGGACAAGTGCCTGCATCCATTAGTCCGGATAATGGAGTCTCTACTGTAATTAAAAATTGATATTTTCTAAAGTTTCAAATTCAAACCTTTTAAGTTCATCTATTTAAATGAAGATTGTAAACGCAACTCTTTTGAAATTTAATTAATTTTGAAATTTTTAAGTAAAATTAATTTTTAAATGATTTCTAAGTAATAATTTTATGATAGTTCTTCAAGATTTAAGTTATTTAAAGAGAAATTATTGTGAGAAATAGAAAAAATTGAAGGTTCTGTATTAGAATTCTTGGCAGTTTTATAGTTTATAAGGCAAACAAAAAAGACACCATAATTCAGAATTTTCTTATAAATTGTAAAAATTAAATTTTTTCCAGTACTTTTAATAAAAATCCCTGATTTTTCTCTGATTTCCCTGACTAATTATAATTTCCCTGATCTGTGGCAACTTTGTATATATTAATAGTAATAATACCTATATTATGAATTAAATTTAAAATTTTTTGAAATTCGCGCCAATATAGTTCACCAAATTGCCGCCTAGACGGCATGAAAATTCTCTCGCAAACAAAATGAATTAAATAGAGAACCATCCTTTTCTCTTGAATTTTTAATATTCTGTATTTGAAATTTAAAAATGTTACTTAATGTATATATTCATAAGAATCGAGATGGATAGAAATAAATAAAGAAAAGCATAAATTGCATAAATTGCATAAGTTGCATAAGTTGCAAAAATGAAAAACAGAATAATAAAATGCAAAAATTAAAGAGCTATTTGAAATTTTCCCGTCACAATGCTGCTTTTCTTTATCTTGTTTTATTACTTTTTGTATTTCTCCCTTGCCACTTGATGTCACAGATAAATAACATCTGTAATTTCCGCCTAGTTACACAACTATACATATATATATATATATAGACGAGACATTTTCAATAAACGATTTACCATCTCTATACATCTCTCTGGATTCTCACAAACTCTCACTTCGATTCTCCGCAATTCTAATTCATTCCTGGTTATATATATATGTCTCTTTTTATCCATTTCAAACCTCGTTTCAATTACATTTCATCAGTTCTCATTTTTCAATTCTCCATTCTTTTTTCCCTTGCTCTCTGTATTTTTCATTTTTGGCTTTTTTTCCCTATTTTCAATTTCACATTCATTTCACTTTAATTTCACTCAAATTTAATTTCAATTTAATTTTAATTTCATTTTAAATTAATTTAAAACTCATTTAAAATTCATATTTAATAATGTCGCATAGAGTCAAATTTTCAATTACGATTAAACTTTATTTTCCCAAATGACAGTTTAGTTGAGTGGAAATTCAGTGGAATTAAATATATCTCTCGTGTATGTGAAAATTTCGTTTTATTTTTAATTTTCGTTAATTTAAATTTTTCTTTATTGAAAAAATTTTATAGTAAAAAAAAATTGTTGGAAAAAATAAGGCAAAATGATGTGATTTTTCCGCATATTTTTTTTTATTTCACGTGAAGTTTTATTTTTAATGAAATATTGATTTTGAAGATGAAATTATTTAATATTGTATTAACTGTGATATTGGCATCAAAGTAAACTTTGTGGAATATAATATGTTTTTCATTTTTATAATATTTACTCGCTCAAATGTGTATATCAGTGAGAAAAAAAGCTTTCAAAATGAAAAATAAGAATATGATTAAAAAAAAGAAGAATCTCGTGTTTTGCTTTTATATTATATATTCAAGTGAAACGAGACACTAAAGTGGAAATAAACTAAGTAAGCAATTTCGTAATGTACTTTAATCTCAGCTTCGACAAATAACTCGTTGAATGTAAAGTAATTTTAGAAATATATATAATCTTTCACGAAACGTGAAAATGTTTTTTTCAAAAATGTTAATTCAAGTATAAAAAGATTTGAAAAAAAATGTGTATGAAAAAATTTTTTTTCCTTTCTGCTATTAATTTTTTAAAATTGTTTTAATTGATTTTTATTTTGAAATACGTTTTTTTACATTTTCTATAGAATTCTATTTTTAGATATTAATTTTCACGTTGGAAGCAAAAAAAAAGCTACTAACGACTGGAAATATATCACAAAACTCATTGTTATACATTCAAGTCGATATTGTAATAAACAATAGTTGCTAAAAAAACAAACAAAAAAAAAGTCTCTTCATTAAAAGTTTCTCTATTAATGAAAACGTTTTTTGTATTTCAAGTCGTTTCTAAGGATTGAGTTGCTTTGTTTTTGAATGTCCTCTTTGTCACACGAAAGAATGTATAAGAAATAACTGTAGAAATAATTCCACTTTAACATTTTTAATTCATTTATTTTTATTATACAAATCGTGTAGAAAAGTAAATTAGATTTTCATTCTCTCGTTGCAGTTACCTTGACAGAGAGTAATTAATGTAAAGTAATTAAAAACAATATAAAGAGATAACTATATAATTTAGTCAGGAGTTTTTCTCTTTTTTTTGTAATTGAAATTAAAATAAGGTTTTTTTCAAAAATTCTAGGTACAGATTTTTTTGAATTTTAGTTATTTATTTACATGTACATTATAAAAAACACAAACATAACCTAAAATTTTTTGCTTCTACCTTTCTCCGAAGCTGGTCACATATATTATTAATTTAATCAATATTTATAATTATTTCCTAGTTCTGTAATTTGAATAATTTGAAATGAAATGATTAATAATCGCTAATACTTATTAACGAAATGAATAATTAATTTTTAATAAATTTTATTAATGGATTGAACAAAATGAAAATTTGAATAACGTTTCTTTTTTGAATGAAAAATAATAGCTTTGAATTTGATGATAAATTTTCATATGCTCGAAATTCATGTATGAAATTCGATAAATTACACTTTGTGTTTACACATATGTGTATATATATAGCTATACGGGGAATTTTACGGATCCTTTTGCTGATAAAGTGTTCAAAGGAAATGCAGAGAAATGTATGTAATCTATATATATATAGATGCATTCATACAAATGTTTGTGGGTCTTATGCTCATCAGACGTAGAATATCCATTTGGGTTTAAATTCAAAGCTTCATTGTTATTCATAGTTTCAATATATTAATCTCGGTATATTTCTCATGTATCTATTTATATAAATGAATCTCAGTTTTGAATATTATAATTTGTTTGTAATTAATGTTACTTAATTGTTTTGTGGTTCATTAAATTTGTTTTGCTTTGTTTGTTTCAGGAAACATAGATTCTTGACTCGTCCATAAAAGGTAGGATTTATAAAATTTGTTCATTAATTTAGTTTTTTTTCTATTAGTTTTGATTTTGATGAAAAATTTTGAATACATATAGACAAAATTAATTTCTATATGTTAAATTCTATAGAAATTCGCTGAAAAAAATTTATTTGATTTAAAAAAAAAATTCAAATAAATAATCTAAGTTATTTAAAATAAAAATGGTTACAAATTTTTGACAAATTCAAAAATATTTATTTCATTTAAAAAGTAATCAGTTATTTTGAATCAAATAAACTTTTTTCAGTGCAGACAAAATTGACATAAATTGAACCTTTATTATCGATATTATTGTCCTTATTGGCAATTATGGTTTTTATAATATTTTTTTAGTATATAAAATAAACAAGAAGGTACTCTATAAGTTAATTTATAATTTTTATAATTTATATATTTTTACATATTATATATCTAAAAATATATTTATATTTATAATTTTTATAAAATTTATAATTTATAATTATAACTTTATAATTTAATAAAGTATAACTAGGTGAATTAATATATAGGCGCATTATTAATGACACAATATTCATTAATTTTAAAGTGATGACATTTTTGAATAGTATTGTGTGACGACAAAAATATTAATCATTCTAAAATTTTGTGCAGCTACAGTCTCTCGCAGGGAAATATTCATTAATTATTATTAAATGAATGAGAAATTGTTGTGTAGTCCTGAAAAGAGAAGAAAAATTTGTGCGTAGATTTAAAAAGAAATTTATTAGTTATTAAAAAAAATTGTCAATTTATTTATAAATTTCTCTTATTGAGAATCTTATTTTGATTATTGTTCAAAAGTATAAAAAAATTCTCGTCAAAATTTTAATTATCTTTATAAATAATAAAATTATTCACCGAAATTCAATTATTTTCAAAAAATTAAATAAATTTCTTGGCAAAATTTCGTAGAATTTTCTGATAAAAATTGATTTAAAAATAAATTTCTGTTAAAATTTTAGATAATAATTGAATATTATTATCTAAATAGTCTTGTTTACTACTTAAATAAATAAATCAATATTAAAAGCCTTATAGCGTAAATTTTTAGAAATAATTGAATTTTGAAAAGGTTTAAAATTAAAATCTTTGAAAATCTGAATTTTTCATACTTTTAACTATAACCATTCTGTAGAATTAATAATTTTAAAAAAGTTTAACTGAATTTTTTAAAAAATTTTTTCATGTTTTTATTTTCTAATATATATATATATATATATATATATATATATATAATTAATTGAAGAATTTCCGAATAAATGATATTTCGTATAAAATTGAATTGTAAACAAATGGATTTGAAAATTATTAAAAAACTTTTTCAAAAAATTATTAAAAATAATTGATTTAAAGAAAAATGTTGGTTATAAATTTCTAAAAAATAATAATTGAATTGAATTGATGAAAATAATTTTGAAGAAGTTACAGTAACAATATTCTTTTATATAATATAAAATATTAATTTTATCACTCGGCCCTCTTTAATTATTATTATAAAATATTCCTAAAAGTTATTGAATTTTAAAAGGTTTGAATTTGAATCTTTTGAAGAATATTAATTCTCACTAAAAAATAATAATTAACTATTCATTTAAAAAAGAAGTTATTCTTGTTTTTGAATAATTTTACAATTAGAGAAATGAGCAAATATTAATAGAACATTTTTTTGAATATCTAATAATTTTTAGAGTGAATCGGAATATTCTTTAGGGTCAGAGAAAAAGGCAAAATCAGTCAGGAAAAAGTTTGGAAATCAGGGAAAAGTTAGGGAAAAACAAAATTAAATTTTTGTAGCAACCCTGATAATTATCATACTGATTATTTGTTACTTGTTGATTTAGTCTCTGTTATTTTCTTCCTGAATGACTTTAGAGGAACAAATAGAAACTTTAAATAGTTTAAAATTTTAGATATTTCTCCTTTGTTTACAAAATCTCAAAATTTAGATTATTTAGTGCGGAATTTATTGCCAAAAAAATCACAGTCGTTCTCTCGTAGTTTTTCGATTTCGTATTTTTTTTTTTTTTTTTTTTTTTGGATAAACGATAAAAAGGGACTTTTTTTTAGAAATTTAGTTCAACTCAGTAAAGTTTGATGTTAAATGCTTTTATTTCGTTGCAAAGGTCGTTTTTCAGTTTCGACATTTTAAGCCTGAATGCTTTGAGTCAAAAGAGCAGAAGAGAGTTGTAAACTTTTTAGATTACTTTTTTTTACGACATATATCGCAAACGACTACATTCGCAAACACATTTGCAAATTTTTGCGAATTTTTAAATTTTAATTTCAATATTCACAAATATTTAGCAGATGAAATTGGTCAACAATATAATAATGAATAAACTCGATAAAATTATGAACTGATGAAAATATAGCATTAAAAATAAGAGAAGAAGAAATGATTATTAAGCGGTAAAATTTCAAATGTCCATTAAAAAAAAAGGGGGAAACAATTTGGAGAGCATTAATTTTACGGTGCGGTGTATAATTTAATTGACCTGGATTAATTAATTGTGTATAAGGAGGTGAGAGAAGAGGAGAAACAGTTTCGATTTTTTTGGGGGGAGGGGGGTAATTCGAAATAAGAGGGAAACGAAATGCGGTCGACCATACGTTGACATATGGACCACCACGTTCAATCGATAGAGCAAACTGTTGATTCTGACCCGGACGACGACTGCCACTACTACAATCAAAAATATACACTGGTATATCATATCACGCTTGTGTACTTATTGACTTTAAGTGATTTGAGGGAAGTTCTCACAAGTAAAATTGAAATAATATTATCCTCCTGGGAAATTGGCGAGGTTTCACGATTGGCTAAATATAGTGATGTCTTCTCGCCAATATTGAATGCATGTGTGTCCAATGCTGAGATTCGAATTTGAATATTCTGTTGACATAAGATTCTAGATAAGATACAAAATAGACATTTTTACATTCTCAACTCACATGTGGGGTTTCTGTTCTTGTAATGGATGAAATTTTTCTTGAAAAGAAGAGACTTTTGATAATTTTAATAGAAACCAAAAAGTTTGTATTTTTTTAAAATTCAGTTGTGTTTATATTTGTTGAAAGCAAAAACCCAGTTGTTCTCTGGATTATTGTTTTTTATTTCGTGGTTGGCGTTGTCCTTCATTATTTAGGTATGTAATGCAGTAATTTATTTACAGCGATAAATGTTAACTATAAATTTTACAATTTTTACAAATAGTCTCTTGTTTTATAAAGCAGAATTCTTGAAAGAATTGTGCAAGGTTGAAGGTAGATTTTCTTACCCTTCTCACAAGTTTAACAGTTCAGCTACTCATTTTCCTACTCTCTCGCTAGCTCTTCTATTATTGTACGCCCATCTTTCGTAAGCTTCACCACATACCCTATTATCGACTCTTACTTCAACAACCTCTTCTGTATTCTCTCCCGCCGCACATCCGACCACCGCTTTTTCTTGTTGTAAAAGTAAACCACCTTAGGTAGTTTTCTCTTCCTCAACATCCTATCATTATCAATGGTTTTCAACTTGGCCTTTAATCTAATTATTTCTTTTATTCTTCTCTTCCTCATTTCCCAACTTCATCATCTACAAATTTTATTGATTCTCGTCATGGTTTTCAAGCTTTTTTTTACAATTTTCTTTCTTTGTATTTCTTTGTTTGGCAGAAGCACTGAAGTCATTTGTAAAAAAAAAATTTTTTTTCCTTCTCCATATTCTGTACACTTTTCTTCTTGTATTTTATTTCCTAGTTGTCACATGTCCTCAATTCTTAAGATTTTCTGTTGCTGTATTTCGATCTCTTTTTTTTCTTTTCAAAAAAAAATGTGAGACATTTTGAAGTTGACAATTTTTTCTGAATAAAAATGTCATTAGTATTGCTTATTTCATGCACCAGTGATTTAGGAATTTTTCAGAACAGTGTTCAAAGCTACAAGGTTTGAAAAATAGTTTAATTTCTATTTGTTTCTAGAAAAATGCGATAAAATCTAAGTTACAAATGGCTGACTATTTTTTCATTCGGAGAGATTCGTGTAGGCTCGTGAAGATTCGTTGTCAGATGAACAACATTTTTCAGCCACCTGGCGGAATGTTTAGAAGTTAAAAAAAGGCGCGAAATTCAAATTGAATGAGGTGAAAATGAAAGTCAAGAATAAAAATGTACCAATTAAAAAATAATAGTACAAGATTGCGAAAAAGATCAGGAATTCTAAAAAAAACCTTCAATTTTTTCTATTTCTGACAATAATTTATTTTAAATAACTAATAACTATTAAAGAACTGCCAAAAAGTTATTGCTTATAAATCATTTAATGAAGTGTACTGTGTGCAATAAACGATAAATAAAAAATAATTAATTGTAGTAAATAAGTTAATAATAAATACGTAAGTAGAAAATAATGAATTATACAAATAATAACAAACAGACAAATAAAAAATGATGGATACAATTAATAAAGTTAAAAAAAGTGGTTATTTTGAATATCATGGTAGTGAAATTTTGCAGAATAAACTTGATACACATTGTATAATACTTGAGATGGTCGTGGGAATGAGGAGGTCAGAAACAGGCGAGTAGTTGCTCGGTTTTCCTGAATTCAAGCTTGAACAAATGCTAAGCAGTTTGCTGTGTGAAACCCCGTCGGAAACAGTTCACTCCAACACGCACCGCAATGCTTGTAATAGAGAGAGAGAAATCTCTTGTCACTACGAATTATGAATAATTTTCAAACTACTATAATATACAGTTACCTTTGCAATAGTCTTTTGCAGCAAGTATAAAAGTAACTTTTTATTTTTCCAAGATTATAATTTACTGAATATTCCCTGAGACATTACATTTTCAGTTATTTTTATGAAATTGTCTTTTTTTTACTGCGTTTATTGTTTTATCTCACACAAGAGTGCAGTTTTTAAATACTAAAATACTGTATAGTTTTGTTTATTTTATATTTTAACCGCAGTTTTATTTTTTTATTGT